AACAACATATACATATAGTAATATAAAAATCTTGAATCATCCACTATCTTTTTATATGATAATGTTATTCAGCTCTGTGCACAATTTTATTAATTATATGTGATATTTGTTATAGCTCACTGGTATAAGTATATACTGAGTTTATTAATTATATGCTTAGTTTGATTAATTACATGTGATTTCTGTTATCTCTCACCAACACATGCACAATCAAGTTTATCCATCACTTTGCTTAATTCGATTAATTATACGTAATACTTGCTATCTCTAACCAGCACATGTATGTACTGAATTTATCAACCACTACACTTAACTCGACTAACTACACGTGATACTTACTAATATGCTATCTCTCACAAATATAGATATGTAATTATGTACTGAGTTTCTCAACCACTTTACTTAGTTCTCCTAATTACATGTGACAACTGCTATTTCTCACTAATACTATCGAGTTTATCAACTACGATGTTTAATTTGACTAATTACACGTGATACATGATATTCCTTATCAGCACATGTATGTACCGAGTTCATCAACCAATACGCTCTATTTCTCACCACACATGTACTATCGAGTTTATCAACCAGTATGCTTAACTCAACTAATTACACGTGATACCTGTTATCTCTCACCAACACATGTACATACCAAGTTCATCAACCACTACACTTAGTTCAACTTATTACACGTGATATCTGCTATCTCACACCAATATAGATACATACCGAGTTTATCAACCACTATTTTTATTGATGTTGTCCATATGTATGTGTGTGACGATGAATGCTAGGAGATTTTAGGCCCTAAAAGGACAAACTAAAACCACAAAATATTACTACTACCAAGACCCACACTGATTTTACCATATGGCTGCAACTGCAACTACTACTACTTCTACTTCTACAAATCTCAAATTCCAAATCCAACCCATTAAACCCAAACGCCGACGTTGCCATGAAACCACCATTACCACTACTACTAACCCTTCTCATTATTCACCCACCAACTGTTCGACACAATGCCTCAACGAAACTCGTAAAGTTGATACACCCACTATCGTCTCACCGGACAACTCATGGTGTTGTCCTGCTTCTAAATCACCCTCGCCGTCGCCGTCGCCGTTGCCGTCGCCGCCGCAACCCATTTCCTCCTGTTCCTCCTCGATTTCGGATAATACCAAGATCCGATACTCGCCGACGACGTTCCCTCGAGTAATGGAATCTATCGGTACCCTTTACGGCGGCGGTGGAGGAGGTGGTACTCCGATCCCAAATAACAACACCCACGAAAGATTTCCGTCGTCTTTTAGTAAATTCAACTCAGCACTTACTGCGGGGTTGCTGAACCCAATGTCACCGCCACCTTCTATGGATAAGACTCGTTCGAGTCCGACCCTTTTCGAAATGATGGCGAATGAACCTGAATGTATTACGAGATCGACAATTAACACACCCATTTCAAATGGATGCTCAAATCAGAAGCCAGCTTCGTTTGTACCACTGGACAAACAGGCCTTAATGCAACAGCGACTTTTGGATCTTTTAGCTTGTAGAAGCCAAGGGAGTCAGTTTAATGATTCGGGTTCGAGTGATGTGAAGTTAACATTGAGTTCTAAGGATGGTTTGAGTGTTGCTATGAATGTTCATAGGCAGATCTTGGTGGTCCATAGTCGTTTTTTTGCTGTGAAGTTGTCGGAGAAATGGGTAAAGCAACAGAGAAATTCAGGTCCTTACATTGTTGAGATTGCGGATTGTGATGATATTGAAGTGTATATTGAAACTTTGAGATTGATGTATTGCAAGGATTTGAGGAGAAGGCTCATGAAAGAAGATGTTTCCAAAGTCCTTGGGATCTTAAAGGTAATGCTTATGCATCTAAATTTACTTTTTTGTGTTGTATAATTGCCTAGTAACGGAATTGTGCGACAAAGTGTTCTTTTTAAAGTAAATTGTGATTGAATTAATGAAATAGAGGATTCACATAACCGACCCTAACTGATTTGGTTGATCATTGTTGAAATCACTTAGCTAGATAGACGTGTGACCTCAATATTAAGTATATACTTGCTCAATTTTGAGCTGTGAATAGAAGTTAGGCATCAAAGTTATCGTCTCTGTTCATTAGCCCATGTATTTATGTTTGTGTCCAAAAGTTAATTCATGTGGCTGCATCTGAATTGCTTGCAAATATATTGCAATGTGCTTTGTGATGGGATAGTTGATTTTCTGTGCCACTTTATTTTAGGATAGTGAAATCTTTTAGAGATGAAGTCTAGTCTTATGCTCAGAAGCATACACATATGCGGGTGAATAGAAACGTGCAATTGTATTTTAACTTATCTGATTATATTGTTTTATAGGTTTCTGCTGCAATTGGGTTCGATGCGGGGGTGTTATCGTGCCTGGAGTATTTGGAAGCTGCTCCTTGGGGTGAGGATGAAGAGGAAAAGGTAGCTTCACTGTTGTCTGAGCTTCGTCTTGAAGGAGTAGGTGTTGGGGAAGTTTTAAGGAGGGTATCTCTTGATGTTACATCGGGAACAGAGAGTGGAAATGGGAATGAGGAAGTGCTTCTCAAGCTATTGCATGTGGTTCTTGAAGGGAAAGATGAGAAGGCGAGACGAGAGATGAAAGGGTTAGTATCCAAAATGTTGCATGAGAATTCATCTCATAACGATTTGAGGAAGGAGTCATTGTATTCAGCTTGCAATGCGTGCCTGCAATTGCTCCGCCACCATTTTTTACGGGCAGCAGATGCAGACATGATGGATGTGGGTCAGATTGCACGACAGGCTGATAATCTACATTGGATTTTGGATATCTTGATTGATAGACAGATAGCTGAAGATTTTTTGAGGACTTGGGCTTCTCAGTCTGAATTATCTGAGGCACATTCTAAGGTGCCTGCACTCCATAGGTATGAGGTTAGTAGAGTCACGGCTAGACTGTTTGTTGGTATTGGTAAAGGGCAATTACTAGCTTCCAAGGATGCTAGGTGCTCTCTTTTGCAGACATGGTTAGTACCTTTCTATGAGGATTTTGGATGGATGAGGAGGGCATCAAGAGGTCTTGATCGGCATTTAATTGAGGATGGTCTCAACAATACTATTCTGACCCTACCGATGGCGTTGCAGCAAGATATTCTGATGTCTTGGTTTGATCGATTTTTGAACTCCGGGGATGACTGCCCAAATATCCAGAGGGGATTTGAAATTTGGTGGAGAAGGTCTTTCTGGAGGCGAAATGGTGAGCCTGAACGCCCTCGTCAAATGCGTGTCATGACTGCAACAATTGAGAACTCTTGAGACTTTACCTGTGAATGAGATGAGGTCCCCGATCACTCTGTGATTGTCTTGTTTCAACTCTTGCTATTCTTCAGTCCTCATCTTATACCAATTTTTATTGTCTTCTTACTTTGAAACAAGTAGCACAACTCAATACTGCAGAGTCAAACTTACAGAGATGATCTTGATCCAAGGTTTTTAATCCGGAAGAAAGCAGACACTTTTTTTTCTGTTTAGGTGTCATGTGATATGAGAATTTTTTTCTTTCTGATCCCATGTAGAGCTCTCCTGTCTGTGACTGAGTGGTTTTATCACAAAGGGTCATCCTACTTAAAAGTTGTGTGACTTCCTGAATGCTGAAATTCTGTGACAGGGAGAATTCATATCCTCAGTATAACAAGATATGGATGATCAATTCAAGCAAGTTGACAATTTAGGTTATTTGAGACATAAGGGAGATTGTCACTACTTATGACCAAGGGAAATTACTATTGGTTCGTGATGGCAATTCCAAGGACTGCAGCAGCATGGTGAATTACTTGTAGTCTTAGGTCTTCATCTATCTTGAGATCATCAGCTGGCACGTGTTGAAGCAAGACTGATCATTTGTGCCTTTCTGGTTGCTAATGAAATTCATTATGTCTATGCTCCTTGTGAGCCAGTTTGGTTAGGTCGTTAGGATTAGATACACTGTTTTTCCCTCGCGTGAATACTGTAGCACCATATTCCTCTGTGTGAACTTTGAAGGTTTTCAATGTTCTCACTCCTTGATGAACAGATTTTCTGAAGATTACCTTGTTGCTTGATGTTTAACTTTCCAATCACTAAATTTGTTTTGCATGAAAGGTGTTTGCTCGGCATATCAAATTCAGTCCAGAACCTATCATCATAGTTGTCTAATTTGCTTATTTTCCTCAGTGCTCAGCCTATCTTTAAGGTACATATTTGGTAATGGCATTACGAAAACATATATAGTCAGTTATATGATTCTCTTTTGAATCCAAAGGCTGTGCAGTAGTCATCTGTCTAAATCCGGTACCACAGTCAGATTCTAGTACTGTGTTTGTTCCTCAGGAAATGAGTTTTCCCAGTTTCTCCTATGTTGATGATGTGACATTGACTTTGTTATGTGACGTTCGATTCCATGTGTCTGCTGAGGTAAGGTGAGTCAATGAAGGTGTTGTAAGCAGTAGCGAATACTTTTACAAGTCTCATTAGATTCTTGCATAGGGAACTATGATGTTATTCTTCTATGTAACATCAGAGACTGTTGTTCTTCTGTTTATTGATTAGGTTAGCACCTTTAATGAAAGATAGTCATGTCTTCTTTGTTTGACTTACTATATGCATTGCTGGCTACTCACAATTATCCAAAACTTTTGGAAGAGATTCCTTGTCTAGGGTTATATGACATCTAGCTTTATGTCAAGTACAGGTGATAAAAAAGCCATTGATACATACAGTGAGATAGTAGCTGTTTTATAAGTCGGTTTCCTGTGTTGAATACCTAATGCCCTATATGGAGTGAACCAAATGCTGCAGTTATGTTCCACGACTTCCTCAACTAAGCCATGTTTAATATACATAAAATCGTTAAATTATCAGAGTCGATTACATGTAACTTTTTACAGGAAACATATAGCCTGTTTTAAACATGGTAAAATGATCCTTGTCTAGTTACAACAGGTAAAAACTACATTGGTAGTGTGAAAAATTCTTTTGTACTGTCGGTGTATATGAATCAAACTCCTCTTGATAATCTTACAACTCAAAAATCTTGTCTTCATCATCAAAATGAGTAAAGTAAGATGGTCCAGTAATCAAGCAATCATAGTTTAGTTCACCTGGCTTGGCTATCTTTTGCCTTCATAGGAAAAAATCAATGAAAAATAGATAAACAAAAACTCCCCAAGTGAATTAAATCACAAAAAAGTAAACAGTGTGTTACCATTCTTGGTCAATTAGCATCTCATCAGTCATCCCAAATTTCTGCAACTCCTCCTTTGTATGATGCATTGACAAACAGTACCTACATATACATTCACAAGCACCGCGAAAAAACGTCAAGATCCATGAAGCTTGAAGTTAAGTTTCAAAGTACAGATTTTGAAAGTTTGGCCAAACGTAACGTTCATCAAAATAGTGTTTGTTTACCTTCCACCATAGCCTCTTTCCATGACAATCATGCCACCATTAGTCATATTATGTAGTCCTTCAAATTGCTCAACAGTCCATTTATACCATCTCATCAAGAACACCCTTAGTGTAAGTCCATGTGAAACTATAACAAGGTTCATATTTGGACTCTGTTGACCAGGTGGTTCAAATCTTCCTATGTCAATATCACTTCTAAGCGTTTCCCTGAACCCTGCAAGCTTGACACAACCACAGTTTTAATGATAACGGGGAGACGAAAGCATACAAAGATAGTAAGGCTTCCATCGCGATAGGTCAAAAACAGAATTGGCCTCTCGATTGGATGTTAGAGGGAAGAATAGGACTTCTGACTCCAACCCTACCCTATCCGAAATCTTCACCTATTGTTGTAGCCTCTTGTCGCTACCTACTAGAAAAATTCCATCAATATTGATTGAATTGACGACCTATATATATACTTCAACTAAAGGCACAAGGGCGTAGCAAGCACATAACAGAGGAAAAATGCACAAAAAAAACTTACAAGAGAAACTAGACACACCTGTTATTCTGTCATAAACATCTGCTGCTGATTCTCCATTAGGAAACCTATAAAAGAAACGACCATAACGAGCTCGAACAGCTTTTTCTATCTTCATTTGTTCTCTGTCCTGAAAATTTCCTTCATAAATACAATTCATAAGTAGCTATAATACTACTACCAAAGCCAAGTTAATGCAAAGAAAATGTACATGCCCCGAGGCTTTGGTCTAGTGGTAAGAGCACAACGTGTGACATGTGTATTAGGTGCACGTTATGAGCACCATTCTTATACAATACCAATACACTTCAGCTGTATATTTAGTGCGTAGATATGTATATGTATATTTAGTATAAAGTATACACTACCTATACATAGTGTACATATTTTATAAACTAGATGTCGGAATGGTATTTGGCTGTAAATTTTCATAATTTCAAATGTTGTTAGTACTCTGAGCACCCTCAACTGATGTGAAACACCTAATACCCCTCGTATGTAGCACATTTAAAGCGCGGACAACACAACATGGAATTCCAACATTATGTAAATCAAGAAACGAGATGAACCTAACGTTGATACCATCTAAAAGAAATGAACTAAAGATTATCCAAGATCATATAAGGACTTATATATTCCTTAGACCAATGTAGGACATTTAGAGTGAGGACAACACAACATAGAAATTTCAACATTATGTAAATCAAGAAACGAAATGAACCTAACACTGATACCATCTAAAAGAAACGATCTCTAAAGATTATCCAAGATCATATAATGACTTATTCCTTCGACAAATGTAGGACACTTAAACAAGTAAACGCAACTACAACAAGTCAAAAAGAAGGACAAAAATCTTGTTCATACCAAAATCTTGTTCTCTTAAACGTGGCTCTTCTCTAACACCAGCAATTCTTGAACGTTCAAAAGACTTAGCCAAATTTCTCAATGTTTCAATTCCTCTTTTATAAGGTGAAACATAGAAATAAACTTTCCAATCATCTCCTCCATTTTTCTCAATCATTTCTCTCATTTTCCTTCCACATCCCTCTGCTTCAATTACGCCTTTTTCGGTTAATCCAACTTTAGGATCAGCCACTCTTGTGTAGACACTTTCATCAACATTTCCTTCACTTTCTCCATGTCTAACAAGAATGATTCTTTTTGGTCTAGGTGGTTTTATTATGCCATGTTGATGTTGTACTAGGTTCTTTTCTGGGAAACTATTAAGAATCCAACCATTGTGTTCTGTACTAAAATGTTCATCATTATTGGAGTTGGAACAACATCTTATTGTACTAGAATTTTGTTGAAGCTTTTGATGATTTATTGTGATAGAGGGTGGATAAATCTTGGAGAAAAGGTTACTCATCTTGATTAAAACAAAATGTTCTTTAGCTATGCAACCTCAAGACCAATTGTAGTAGTGGGATGAGATGTGTGAGACTCTTCCTTGCTATCTGTTGCTGGTGGGAGGTGATAGATATTTCGTGAAACTAGTTGAGGTGTACGCAAGTTGTCTCTCGACACCACGGATATAAAGAAAAGTTGTATGAGTGCCTTAACTAGAGATTTTGGGTTGAAGTTCAGAAAATTGAGAAATTAGAGGTAAGGAGTTATTTCTCCCTTTTGAGGCTACGAGATGCTAATCTGAATTAATTAGACCACGAAAGATTGTAGTGGGATGAGTCTGTTCTTAACTTGACGTTTTGAATTGAGATATTGTGAGTAAAGAGCTATATTAGTTTAGTGAGCCTATGTTATATTGTATATTGTATGATGAAGAGAAGTGAGATTTTTAGTGGTTTGTTTGTATTGTATTTTTGTGAAAATAAAAAAGAGCCAAGCAATTTGTTTGCCTTATCTAGGAGGACACCATGATGGACAATTGTGAGGGGGAGGATGGATTTGTGGCATTAACAAGAATTTAGAAATATGTTGAGTATTTTTTTATTTTTTTTTGGTCATTTAAAGCTTACTTGTTGATTAGATGACACACCAGCTGTTACTTCTTATTGGGATATTTTTTGTGTTCTTCTTTTCATTTGTAGATTGGTAGGTGTAAAATATGGGCTTAATTTGATCTTGTGACACACATTAAAGTTAAGTTAGGTAAATAGTTATTTGTATCGAGTGTTTACACCAAACTGATGTAATTTATTATATATACATACATACACATGCGACCATTGGTAAAATAAGAGCTACATTTTGAAAGTATCAAGTCATCCTCATATGGTAAACTCGAAAAAAAGCAACTTCCTTATAAGAATTATATTTGAAACGATGGCTAAATTTTGATTAACGACTCAAAATCGAGTTACCCCACCTAATTTTTTACCAGTATTACTAATCGAGCCCACTTAATCTAATGGGCTTATATCAAAGTCCAGCAAGGTTATTAGACTGGATTTGTTCACGTCTTTTTCTAATGGGCTTGAATGATACCCCATTGATACTAGAGATCCAAGCCCAATTTAATAAATCAGCTTCTATCGCTTACCCTTGCCCTCGTAACAAACAACTTTTTTTTTATAGAGCATAAGTTTATATTTTCGTATCATAATATCTTAAAAGTTATGCATGGTCGCATCTTTCTAGAGAACTTATCACTTATGCCCCTCTAGACATAAATTTGAATGCTAAAGACCAACCCATTCGAAAGGAAAAACGTGTAATTTTAGGTTAAAAGATTGAAGAATTGATAGTATTTATCCCGTTCTCACCCCAAAAATAAAATAAAATTTTGAGTTTGGTTTGCAATCACATTTTTTGTCGTATTATTTTCTATTGTTCTCTTTTTCATTGTTTTCAAGTTCGTTGAAGATAACATCTCTAGTCTCTACCTTAATAATGTAGGGGTAAGACTGCATACACGTCAATATTCTCTCCAGACCCCAGTAAATGTGGGTGTGCACTCAAAGGCAGATATAGTCTTGCAACACCAAATTCATCTGAACTTAGTGTTTATGATGTGAAACTTAAATATTTATCAGTAAAAAAAAATATAGCAAATAATATATATGTGAAATCATAATTTTTAAAATATAATAAATTCAATGTTAATAGCTTCAAAAATTAAATACATAAAATTTAAATCTTCAATTCACACTCTTTCCTTCATTAAAGGTTTCTTAATTAGGCAAGTAATGCATAATTTTTTTTCTTTTTCTAGATAAAAGAATAATATGATACTAAAGTGCAACAATAACATGATTCTCTTGAGTTATTTTCTCTTATTTCTTTTAATATATATATTTTTCTTTTTGGAGGAAAATTCTAAGGTATGTTGTTGAGATTATTTATTATATTAAGACACATTCTTATTTAGACAAATATGCTGGCATTTATACAATGGACTGTTTATTGGTAACAGTACCAATCATTGGAAGATATATATCAGAATCTCCCAATTATTATTGATTGGGAATACTATATAGTATAATAAGTTGACTTATAGTCAATCTAAAATTGCCCTAATTTATTTGCCTAGCTAGGCCATATACATGTACCTTTATTAACATTAGAAAAATGTGTCCCTATATTGTTTACTTTTATGGCCTTTCTTCCTTCAAATAATGATTGTGAATTATTTATGGATGCCCCTTCATGTGTTTGATATATGAGGTATATTTTTCAACATCTAATAGAATCTTAAATTCATGAACTATATACCTTGGAGTAAATTTATATACAAATGCATATTTTTCAAGGTTTTTTTTTTTTTTTTGTGAATGGGAAGATAAGTATAATTAGGCAAGAAACAAAGTTTCATAATAAGAAAATAGATCTTGAGTCTAATTTTTGTATGTGTTAAGAAATTCGTTTTTGTTAAAATTTTGTGTATATGTTAAATAATTCACATAAAATGTATAATGATTTGTCTAGAACATAGTACACTATCTTTTCTAGAATTTAGAACTCATAGCTATAAATTTGAATTCGTCTTTAGTCGCAACATCAAATAAAACAAGAATTGGGATGGTCTGACTTTGTTATAGTAATAAGAGAATAGAGTTTTGATCCAATTCAACTCCGAGAATTGATTCCCGAGGGGAGAATTGTCCATAATTGTATCTTTTGAGACTTTTCATCTCTAAATAACCGATTTGGGAACTCAATATATAGTTTGCACTTTTACTTTATAAAATATTTAGTCGCATTAGATATTTACATCAAATCAAATAATATAATTTCAATATATAACTTGAACTACTTGAAAACTACTCTTAGAATACAATTTTTTTATTTTAAATTATAAATATAAGGGTTATATTTATTTTGTATTAATTCCAATCCATTTAAAAGGAATAAGAGGGCCACGTATTAGAAAAATGAATATAAATGTCTAATAAAAACAAAATGGGTGAATCAGACTAAATTTGTCATTACTAGAAAATTTTCCTAGAAACTTCTTGTGATTGTCTATGGAAATTATTATTATTCTAGGGTAGATTCGTGCAAGTTTAAAATAACTTCTTTAAAAAATAATTTCAAAATTTGTTGGTATAGATTTTTTTTTTTTTTTTTTTGTGTTAAATTGTTTATGATTTTCTTTTTGTCATTTGCATTGACCTTAGTCCTATAAAAGACTTCTTTCTTCTATTTTTTTTTTTGGAGTTTATTACTAAGTGTTTGGTATATGCCTTGAAATCGCATCAAGGTCTATTTCTTAAGGCAGCGTTCTCAACAACAAAAAAATTCATTATTATGGGTTTGAGCCTTATTTTTAATTAAGGGTGGAGAGATCCTAATCATCCAATTACAATTTATATTGATAATCGAAGACTTTTACTTGTTAAGAAAGAAATAGTTTCAAGATATGCATTAATCTACTAACCATATTTGGATTTTTTTATCCAACAATAAAATATTTAGATTTATCTCTAGTTTGTGTTTGCATAAAATATTATAATTTAATGAGGTGATTTAGACCATTAAAATGGAAATCAATGTCTTTTAGCATTTGAAGTTGCAAGTTACCTAAGATATTATTTTCTAGAAAAAAGATAAGGAAACTTGACTTACTATATAACTCCACCAACCCCCTTTTCTCCTTTAGGAATCTCATTAAGAGATATTTCCTTTGAGAGGAAAGCAAACACCATCGTTTAAATTATATATACTGATAACATAAAAATTAAAATATCATATGATTATTATTAATTAAACAATATTTATTACAAATACTTATTGATTTGTGCATAAAAACTAAAATCTTACTCTATGATTATTCTAATGGCACAACCAGTATGTTCAAACCCTCAAAAAAATAAAATATAATTCAACACGATATTGACTTATATTTCATCTAATATAAGAAGAAAATAGTAATTATAACCTACTTTATATATATGTGTGTGTGAGAGAGAGAATATGCGAAACAATTAAAGGAATAATGGACCGCAAAATGGCCATATATATTAATTATTTCTTCAACAAAAATTAGCCCCACACATAAATGAGTGGAAAAAATTGCTTTGTGAACTTGACTTTGTGTTGATTGTTCTATGCTACAATCTTGTCATTTGATGGCCACAAATTTTGTCATCCCATTGGCTAACAAAAAGAAAAAAAAGGAATTCCACAAATTCTAGAGACAATTGTTGGAGACTAAGCATTGGCAGAAAGAATTACGTAGCACCTTCCTAAAGTCATGTCTTTAAAGGACTCTCGATATAACACAAATTAATTAGAGATTAAGTTTTGTGCACTGTCAGTGTAGTAAATTTCTACACCATCAGGTAACTTACTTTAATAAAATATTATAATTATAAAAAAGAAAAGAAAATAATATCAACCATTTACTAAAAAGAGAAGAAGAAGAATATCAATAGTTGAGTCCTATTTGGATTCTAACCAAATATAATTCCGTAATTAAATTATTTTCTTTCCAAGATTAATACAATAATTAGGTTTATCGTAGGTTTTCCCTTAAGATCATCGCTCATGTAATTCTTCAAACATCATACTTTCTGAACCTAGTAAGAAATAATTTTTAGAACTTCAAACATTCTAAAACTTGACAAGCTTCTTCTACTCAACGGTATGTCGCGAGAACAAATTTCTTATATTTTCTTGTTTATAAGCATGAAAAAACTCCTTTTGAACAAATCTTCATTAGCAAAATAATTCAATGTACCAAAAATAGGTGAATATAGCGTCGAGAGAGGTGAATATTGCATTTAAAGTATTGTCATATCGTCTCTAATTCTTCTGTTCTACACCAAGTTATTGGGAAGAAATTTTATTAGTTTAACTTCCACTACTGAATATATTTTCCAAAGGAAGTGTTGAATAATAAATAGACATATTCATAATTTTAAGTTATCTAACATTCATAAATGTATTTTGCAGCATCAATGGAAAACTCAAATTTAGATGAGCAACATACAGAAGTTGAAGTTTCATTAGAAGAAAGTGATAGGGAAGAAACAAGATAGATTGTTTCCGAAATAGGAGTTGGAAATTCGAGAGACCCCTATATCGGTAAGGAGTTTCAGTCACTTGATGATTCATTTAAATTTTATCTCGAATATGCTCATCGTAGCGGTTTTAGTGTACGTCGAGGTCGTATGACTAAGTCAAGAAAAGATAAGTCAATAATTGGTCAAGAGTTTGTCTGTTCAAAGCAAGGATTTCGTTCAAAGAAAAATTTAGAAAGTAATAAACCACGAGATGAAACCAGAGAAGGATGCAAAGTGTTGTTATATATGTCAAAGAAAGAAGAAGGTAATTGGGTTGTTTGTAGGCTTGTTGCTAAGCACAATCATGAACTTGCATCTCCAAATAGTCAAAAATTCTTGCGATCAAAAAGAAAAAAATCTGATGCCCAAAAGAATCTTATTGATTTACTTGATAACTCTGGAGTTCGTCCAAGTAAAATAGCATCAGTGTTGATGAATCAAGCTGGGGGTATAGATCGACTGAATTTAACAAGTCAAGATATCCAGAATTATTTGCAAACTAGAAGACAAAAAAATCTTGAAAAAGGAGATGCACAATTAATGCTACAATATTTCCAAAGGCGTCAATCTGAAAATCCAGGTTTCTTTTATGCAATTCAAATGGATGTAGATGGTCATTTAGCTAATTGTTTTTGGGTTGATGCTAGATCTAGGATTGCTTATAAGAATTTTGGGAAAGTAGTTGTTTTTGATCCTACATATCTGACAAATAAATATAAGATGCCTTTTGTTCCATTTACTGGAGTTAACAATCATTATCAGTCTATTTTGTTTGGTTGTGCTCTACTTTGGGATGAAACTCAAGACACTTTTGAGTGGTTACTTCGTACTTGGCAAGAGGCAATGTTCGGAGTTGCGCCTCATACAATCATAACAGATCAAGATTCTGCCATAACAAATGCAGTTGCAACAGTATTTCCTAACACTAAACACCATATTTGTATGTGGCACATAACAAAGAAGATTCCAGAATATTTAAGTCATGTTTATCATCAGTATGTTGATTTTAGTAGCAAGTTTAGTTGGTGTATTCATGGTACAACCACTCCTGAGGAATTTGAAACAATGTGGATAGAAATAATGGAGATGTATAATTTAGGAGAAAATAGTTGGTTGCAGAGAATATATGCAATTCGTGAAAAATGGATACCAGCATATGTGCGTACTACTTTTTGTGCAGGCATGTCAACAAGTCAAAGAAGTGAGAGTATGAACAAATTTTTTAAAGATTATTTGAATTCTAGTACTCCAATGAGTATATTTGTGGTGCAATATGATAAGGCTATTGACGCTAGATATGATAAAGTAAGAGAGAAGGATTACAAGACAAAACATTCAAGGCCTATCTTGAAAACTTTGTATCCTATGGAGGATGAAGTGGCGAAGGAATATACAAGAAAGATATTTCAGATTTTTCAAGAAGAACTAATTCAATCTCAAAAATTTATCTCTGAAAAGATTGAGGTTAAGGACGGAAGAAACATCTATAAAGTGCATCAACTTCAACGACAAAAGCCGACATACATCGTTAGTTTGGATCTTGCATTGAAAAGAGCTGTTTGTTCATGCCACAAATTTGAGTTCATGGGAATTCTATGTAGACATGTACTAATGGTATTTATAAAGAAGCAAATTCACTCACTTCCGACATATTATTTATTAGATCGATGGAGTAGAAATGCAACCAAAGAAAGAGCTAATGATCCACCAAATGAAACAAAAAATTTGAAATCTTCTACCTTATGGTTTAATAACATTATGATACATTCTATTGGGCTATCTGAACGAGCTACAAAGTCTGAAAAACATTATCAATTTGCACATCAAAGATTATTGCGATTGTGTGAAGAACTTGATGAACTTCCTTATGAATCAGAGGAAGATTGTGTTGTATCAGGTGGTCCAGGTAGTGAAAAATATTGTGAAATAATATCATGTGAACAAAGTCAAGATACTACTCTGCTTGACCCTCCAGTAGCGGCAACTAAAGGGCGTCCAAGATCTTTGAGAATGAAAGGTGCTTTGGAAGTTACTCAAAAGACCAAAAAAGTTACTTCTCAGAAGCAAAAAAGGCAAACGAAAAGTATGAAATTTAAGAGGAAGGAAACAAGGTAATTTCACTTTACACAATAAATATTATTTCTATTGCGAGTTATTGTTGTTATAACTTCTAACATTTTATGTGCAGTTCAAATTATAATGTCGAAGTCGAGCAGAATGGTACAACAATATCTAACGAGGCTCATTCAATGGTAATTTTTTGTATACTAGCTTATGTCAGTTGGCTTACTTTTCATATACCTTCTTCTTCAACTAACAGAATTCTTTCAAATTTTATCATTTAATTTGTCAGCAGTTTCAACGATATCCAGAATATTATCAAGGATTTATTGAGAACACTGATTGTGCTTATGCCACATCATTTACGGTAAGAACTATTCATTTTTTATTCTATCGTTTATATATTATGTACATGCTAAAGTGTGTGTTGATGAATTATAACTCTTCCTTTCAGGAGTTGATGAAAGCAGCTTCAACTCCATTCCAGCAACACCATCCTAGTTAGTGAGTAAGAAGATGAAGGATTTGGAGCTTTGAGAATATAGGAAATAAGAGGAAGCAGTTATTTAGATTTTAGTTTATTAGTTTTCTTTGAAATTTTTTAACTTTTGAATAGTACTTTCATTGTTTATTTTGACATGTATATGGGATAAAATTATATGCTTGTATTGCAGTTTGTCCTCTATTTTTGGGTCAAATCAATTATATTTTTTGTTACGTGTGAAAATAGATGCACTTTATATCATTCGAAAATGAGCGTAAAATGTAAGATTCCTCTACAAATCAACAAATTTTACTCTAAAAATAGCTGATGTTATAACATGTGTTGTCGAAAACCTTAATAAAAACTAGCTATGCCATAATACAATTATATACAAATAGTTTTCTGGTGGTGTAGAAAACTTGTTCCTTTACGGTATGCAAACTTATATGATGCTCCAGATGTGGTTGAACTTTTTACCTCATCCTCCTCCCCAACCAGCTGTTAATAGCATCATGAGTCTATGAGTTTCCTCTTCATTGCTTAGTTTCAAAGATGTAAAACTTGAGATATATATATGTCAAAGATCATAAATATAATTAAAATCACTTATTCGATAATTTTTTATTGATAAATAGTATCAGAATGATATACATGAATCTGAACTTATATTAGAATTTAGATTCTAACAAGTCCAACAAGTTTGTCATACATAGAATGAAACTTAAATTTCATACAATAGTACAAATTGTGAAATACATTTACTATAAAGCGTCTCTCTTTTCTTTTCGAAGCATTTTCCATTCCTTTTACCCCATATAGTATATATGTTGCTTGGGGTGGACAAGAGGAGTTGTATATGCATCGTTATCGATCATTGTGAAGATAGAAATATGTCTCAGCAGGAGCTAGAAGGAGCATCTTCGGATGACTTGGTTCAGAAACAATGGGAAAGAAGAGGTTACCTTGGCGTGCATACAGAAGCAGAACGACTATAGCTTTATTGATCTTCATATCCCTGCTAGTCATGTCAAAGCAGACGACATGAATGATCTTAGCTCATTTGGCTGATTAGTATGGTTCATGAGAGCTCAACTCACTGTGGAACAGAACACAATTATTCCCAATATTGAGAACTAAAGGGGTTCACAAATGCAAGTATTTCTGCAAGGCTTTTCGAGGAGCTTGTTGGTGTTCTGACGCCACTCGGGGATGATGAAAAAATATGCTCCATGAGCATCGATAAATCATGTTCCATGAGCCACCAACCAACCAAAAAACAAAACTCAATAGACTCCTTACGTGAAAATTTACAGAAAGAGAATCAGTAACTCATTCATAACAATAAAATTAATTCAGAATATGATCAATCTGTCCAAAAATAATTTAGGTAAATTATGTCTCTTAAAGTTGAAAGCATTACAGAGAAATAGGATTAGTAACTTAATTCTATTTTCTCTTCCCATCTATTGTTAGATCAGGGTATTGATAAATTATGCCCACATAAATGGTATGAAGAGCACCATCATCTATAGGAAGATTGAATGAATTACTCATAAACAATGAAATTCTATTAGAGTAAATTGATTGTGCAAATAAGACACATTAATCACATAATAATTCTAAAATTAAATTATTAATAAAGAGAGAATAGTTTCACTAACATAGATCTACTGTACTCACATAGCAAAATAGGTTATTGAATTTGACACTTTGATTCTGCAAATTCACCTGCAAATGCTTTCTTTATACTAATCAATAAAATAACCATTAGTTAATTAGAGTGAAAAATGATAAAATAAAAAACAAAATCATAACCCTCCATGAGTACGAATAAACAAACAAAATTGGAATATCAAGATATGCAGATCGGAAGAAAACATAAAGAGGAAGTAGGTCAAATGTGATATGCAGATTGAAAAAAAAAGCATAAAGAGGAAGTAGGTCAAATGCGTATAAGAAGGAGTAACTGCCGCTGAATATCAGCTATTTTAGAGGGATAAAGACAGGATTTTAATTTCTAGGAGAGAGAGAAAAAAAAGTTAATTTTAATTTTATATTTCTTAAAAAAGATTAGGGAGAAATTAAAATTACATGATGGTGTAGAAATTTACTACACTGACAGTGCACAAAACTTAAACTCAATTAATTAATGTTATTGTTACCAATTCTATTATTTTAGTATACTATACGCAGGGGCGGTGCCAGCATGTCATGACCCTTCGGCGGAAAATATTACTATATATACATGGTTAAAATTATTTTTTAGATATATATAATAGATGTCGAACCCCCTTAGACTAATTCGTATGTTTACTCCGAATTTTGAACCCCCTTATTGAAAATCCTGGCTTCGCCACTAACTGTACGCGCTTAATGCACTAGGTTAATCGAATTACCAATGTCATATCAAAAGATAACGTCAAGAAAATAATGTATTTGAAAGTCTAGAGATTTGAATGAAAGCTAGCTTGTATTAGAGAGAACGTCGATTTCTAGTAGAGTTAATTACGTGATGCCAAAGGGAGTAAAGTATTTGAAGTTTTCTAGCTAGTCTATTTTTGTGGAAAATCAGTACAAGATTTTTAACATGGTGTGATATTATGTAGTAAATAGGTGTGGTCATGTATTATGCACATATGACAAAAACTCAACTCTTATGAATGTCAAAATAGAGAAATACGTAGTGATATGTTTCTTTTTCTTTTTGTGACTTCTTGAACCACCTAAAAGTGATATTTTCTACCAATATAACAACAATAATAATTTATTCATTGTAATCTCATAAGAAAAAAAAAAAAAAAAACTGGGGAAGGTCATGTATATGTAATGTTGCCCCTACATTGTGAAGGAAGAGATATTGTTTTTTCAATAGACTCTCGTCGGCTCAGCCGCTCAGTAAAGTCTATTTAAAACAATATTTTTGTTAAAATAACTAATATTAAATCTTTGTTATATACAAAAACTATTGAAGAGTGAAGAAGTCATATTTCGATGGTTAATTGAATGAGTGGTTTGTTATATCGGCACAATAGTTAAGATTTAAAAGTCATCTTTATTTTCTTAAGGTTCTAAATATGACAAACAAATTAAAACAAACATCGGAAGGAGTAATTTTTATTTTTATTTTCATATATCATTGCTAAAGTTGGGCCCAAAAAAGACACGTGGCAGGCAATTTTTTAAGTTCTATCCTGGCCCAAAACATTCCACACCCCAAAAAGTATGTGTAGAATTGTTAAATAGGGTGGGAAAATATTTTTCAGAAAATGTTTAGCATTGAAAAATATTTATGAAAGGAATTTAAAACAATAAATAATAATTGTTTCTAATTATATTTTTATATTAATAAATTATTTTTTAATAGTGCTAAATTCTTTAAAAATATCTAATAAATAGAATAAATTAGTAAAATATATTTTATATATATTACTTTTCCTAATGAATATAATTAGCTAAAACAAAATAAGTCGGCAAGAGAGTAGTTATAACATCAAAATCTATAGAGATTCAAAAACAATATTTTAACCTAATTTAATGAGTCAATTATGAGGAAGTTGAAACTATTTCCTTTTGTTGTTAATGCCAAAATAATACAGTCAATTCAAGATGAATATTCCATTTATGATGATATGTGCATTTGAGCAAATTGATTTTGTTCCATTAACTTTTCTTTAAAGAGTTTTAAGTTGTATACTATGTATACATTTCTTTATATCATTACGTAACATATATATATATATATATATATATATATATATTGACCTACAATGATAGGGTAACCATCAACTATCAATAAATTTGAGAAATAGAGTCATGAAAACTTTCTGTAACCGATTAAATTACGATGAGAAGGTAAAACATTATTACACTGTCAATTTATATAACTTATTATTGTAGGAAACCATTATAAGTTTAAAGATGTTGCTATTGAACACAAAACAAATGTCATTTTCTTGCTTTTCTTAGTGGTCACCCCAAATTAAATTGAAAAAATAAATAATAAAAAAGTAGATAAGATTAAAGAGAATATGAACATCACCTTCAAATATTTTGCTTTCTTGATGGAGAAAAAAAAGTATCTTTAAAGAAACAAAACAAAAAATAAATATAGTGAAAGTGTTAAATATCCCACTTGCATGGGGATATTGCTGTCTATAAATAACTGTATGACAATTACATTGTACTATATAGTAAAGATACAATAATAATATGATCACTTTGAAGTTCCAACTTGTTTTGAGATATCAAAATCATATTATTTCACTTTCATTTACATAATTTTAAAGAAAAGGACTTTGTTTCTTGCTTCCTTTGTGTCTCCACGTGTTTGTAAGTACTATTATCATGCACAAATTAGGTGATAAATTAAATTTTAAATTTTAATAATTAAGTTGTTGAGTCTAGATTTATAACTTGTAAATATTAAATAAACATTTTTTAAAAAATAAATGTATAATATGTGCTAAATCTATTAAGTTTTGCGCATTGCGTTAGGTGACTTTATTTCACGTTACCAACCCCAGAAAAACTCTAAATATAAGTCTAGGATCATTTATATATATAGACAAACTTCATGAATGTTAAAATCCAAAGTCGAGAGAGAAACAATGTAACCTAAATCGTACGCTAAAGTCCTGATCATGTAATCTCGAGCTCGCCCAAAACATATATATTATGAAAGGAAAAGGCTTAAATATGCCATCGAACTTTGACAAAAAGGCTCATCTATATTATCTATTAAAAGTTTAGTTCACTTATGCTATTTTCATTTGAGAAAAAAGGCTCATCCATATATTGATGCAACCCCAATTATAGCGGTGATGAGTGCTAAGTAATAAAGTCAAGTAACTTTCAACCCCTCTTCCTTCTTTTTGAGTCTACGCACTTCAACTTTTAAAAAAACATCATTTTTTCAGGATCATTGATTTACCTGTTTTGAATTATAATATTAATCGATTACTAAAATTAGGTTAATGTGATTTTATTAGTGTATGAAAGCATCAAACAGAATATTGACAGTC